GGTTACATATTAATAATTTATTACCTACAAAAATATTTCTAGTAAAAAGAATTGTTAGACGACATTAGGCTGGCAGATGGTTTATTTGTTTCATTCCGACATTTCGACCATGCAGGTGGTGGTCCTTTTCTTTTTGAATTTTTTAAATTTAAATTTATTTTACATAAGATTTATATAAAGAAGAAAAAGAACTATAGATAAGAAAATTTTTTAAATGTATTACTTACAAAAATATTTCTAGTTCTTGTATGGCGTGATAAATAATTATCTCATGCCATACATTTTATGGATCAGTGCACTCTCTTTTCAAAAATACCTTTGAATTTAGTTTATACAATAGTGGAACTTCTACAATTTCGAAATTCGAAAGGAACAACATAGAGCCGCTCAGTCTAGAGTAACGTCGCTCGGGATACGCTTTAAAAATAAAGTAGTAGAAATTTCTGTACGCACACCTGACATACCTATATCGATCTGTCTTACTGAAATGGACATGTGCGCGGTATGTGTCGCGTGTCACGTGCCGATGACTCGTTGCGTGTTCCGTAAGAACGCGGGGCAACAGGAACTGGCCCAGATACCAGGTATCACCAGTTACGAATACCTAAGACACGGCCACGCTATAGTCAAAAATATCACCGAAGGCGTGTAACAAAGAATGATACGGGTCGCATTCCGTGTGTGATGAATGGCGCGAAATAAACTTTCATTATAATCTCGGACGATATATTCGTACGCATACAAATTATAAAATACTACTTTCAGCGTCGGTCCTCGTTGGCAATATTGCAATTAGAAACGTGAGGGCGTTCGACGGAATGTACCCAATCAAATCGCTTCATTGTAAACAAGATTTAAGACCGACAATGGGGGGAGGGGAGGGGGGAGGGGGATTGTGGCGGTGCTACCATCGCCACGCTCCGCATTCTTCGTGACACCGAGCCACCGTGTAACGGCGATAAGCTTAAGTGCTCTTCGAAAACACGTAAAAGATGTCCGGCAGTGGCACCGTGCGAGCCCGACACGAGTCAGTCTAAGGGTCAGAGCACGAAGCAACGTCATAGCTTACGACAAAGACGCAAGCGTGAACGTGGATAACGCACAAGCTTTGGCGTATGACGTACTTATCTTCAATTACATATAACGTTACTTTGTCGTAAACTGTTACGTTGCTTTATGCTCCGACCCTAATTTCTACCAATGTAAATTAATTTTAATCTCGGTGTAACTTTCTTTCCGTCTCTTTTTCTACTCTCTAAAAGTCTCATAAAAGTCAATCAGTGGATTATCACTGAAGACAGTGAATATTCACTGATTCACTGAATTATTCAGTGCTATACTTATAACTGTTGCTTCCTCATAGAGGAAGCTTTGTTCATGCGAAAAATTTTTTTCCAGTTTTCATTGCCAATGGGTTTAAAACGTTTTAAAAACTAAAAAAACACAATTTAAAAAAATGTATGTGTGTGTGTATGTATGTGCACAAAAATTGTTCGCGCTCTCCCGTCCGCAATTTTTGAGATATCGCCTTCTACTTTGGCACATTTCTTGAGTGTGATTAAAAGATGGCTGGTATTGTATTTGACGATAATCGGTGCAACGGTTCAGTTTTTACATACATATATATGTATATTTACGTTGAAATTCCCGAATAACTTTTTAAATATTCAAGAT